CCTGCCAATTATGAAAAGCAGAGAACAACATGTAGTACCATCATCAGAAGAGTTACCTGTTGCATTTCATAAAACATGAACTTTTTTCTCCTTGGCTTTATAAGTTATATATATATATATTGTTCAATACCTGACACTTCAACCTACGCAGGAAATCACGAACAGAAACCACCATGTTCAAAGTGCAAGACTTGGTGATAGTTTGAAATAAAAAAAAAAAAAAGTAACTGTTTCTAGAAGTGGATATTCCTCCTGCAGCAAGCAGTAATCACATGTCTGGTATGTCATTGCTAGAACCTGTGAAAGACCCATCTCACCTTAAGAAACGGCTTTCAGACTGCAAAAAAACAACTCCTGCTCAGCTGCTAAGAGGATCCAGACAGAAATAAGAACCCTTACTCTGCAATGACACCACCCCAGATAATGTTGATCTCCTGATGAAAACTTGGGGGCAATTGTTTAGTACAGGAAACTCGCCTGTTACCTGTCATCCGGCTCAGGGGCTCCATCAGAGACAGCCCAGCTCTGTCCACAGCCATGACGTGGTTCTCCTTCAGGTACTGTTTCAAGGCTGGATGGATCACTTTCTGGCACACCACAAGGCCGACCCCATCATGAACCAGCTGCTTCCCTACATTCAGCAACTGATTCAGCTCTGACATTTCTAGAGAAGTTCCGTGACGGACTGCTATAGTTCCTTCCTCAGGGCTGAAGCTGTCTCCCGACATGGACGCACAGAAAAGTGCAATCTTGATCATGCTTGAACCAGTTCTTTTGACAGCAAGTGGTTTTCCCAGCTGAATTTCTGGTGTTTCTATCAGTAGTCCAGGAAGAACTGTAGAATCCATCACTCTTCTTCCTTTCACAGGTATTATTACACACTTTCCTAAAACAGCATTAGTCTCAACATGACATGGAACAGTAAATAAAAAGGCCTTTAAAACCAGCGTGGTGAGATGCTCAACTTCTGTTTTGTTAAGCATGCAAGCAGGTTTGCTTGTTAAAACGCTACGTACCAAACAAACCAGGGTCTCAACACTGCTAAAATCCACGGACACCCGGCAACCACAAGCCTCAGATTTCAGGTAGTCCGTGCACAAACTCAGGAGGTTCTTGGTTATTTTAATGACAGTGCAAGGTGCAACATTCAGGCTTCTAAAGTTTTCAATCAAGCTACAGCAAAGGATGGCAGTAAATAAGCCACAGTCGCTGCAGCGCGAGACGTGGTTCTGCACGGAGGCTGTGAGAACGCGGAGCACGGGACTGCTGACGGAAAGGTGCCTCAGGAGAGCTGAGGACTGGGAAGTTGTACAAACACAGCCTCCCACACCGTTGTGGAGCTGTTTGAGTCTCCCAGCAGGACCATAGGAAGATTTAAATATCCTGCTAAGCAGAAGCAGCGACTGACACACCGTGTCTTTAGTTAAAGGTTCACTAATAAATAACGGAGGCTTTTTAGCTTCAAGACGAGACATTTTCAAAGTAAGATTTTAATTCTGGCCAACAAAACAATTCATTTGCACTCGGATCAATAATTCATAGCACTTTTAAAATCTAAAAGTAGTACATTTAAACTCTTTGCAGCTAAGGATTAATATTTTCAGTGTGAAACAGTACATACAGTACAATAACATTCCTGTGACTGCTCATCATGTCTTTCTTAAAATGAGGTTTAAATCATGTTGCAACACTGACGCATAATGACAGCAGGAAGCTACTTTCACTCATGACGATCTCTTTTAACTTCTGAATGTGACTGAGCAGATTTTTTTGCAACAAAGTTTACAAGCATGCTTCCTAAATGGACGCCTATAACTGACAGTCCTACTACAAGCAGCAGGTTCTTTCTGTTCCAGGTAGTTTTCTTCATCTTTTCTGGCAACAGTCACAGATGAAAAGCTTCAACGTTAGTTACACCTACAATTAAAACCAGAAAGGTATTAGGATAATCTTATGACAGTATTGCATAGCTTGAACTGCTATTTTATTTTTCATTTAAAAAAAAAAAAAAAAAAAGCCACACAAGGACAAACACTGCACCACAGAATCGTTTGGGTTGGAAAAGACCTTTAAGATCAAGTCCAACTGTTCCTCCAGCACTGCCAAGCCCAACATTGAACCATGTGCCCAAGTGCCACATCTACACATCTATTAAATACCTCCAGGGATGGTGACTCAGCCACTTCCCTGGGCAGCCAGTTCCTGTGCTTGACAAGCCTTTCTGTGAAGACAGCTTTCCTAATATCCAATCTAAAACTCCCCTGGCACAACCTGAGGCCATTTCCTCTTGTCCTATCACTTGTTACTTAGGAGACTGACTCCCACCTCACTAAAAGCTCCTTGGTTTGGAGAGTGATGATGTTGCCTCGAGCCTCCTTTTCTCCAGGATAACCATTCCCAGCTCCCTCAGTCACTCCTCATCAGACTTCTGCTCCAGAGCCTTCACCAGCTCCGTTGCCATTCTCTGGACACTCTCCAGCACCCCAATGTCCTTTCTGAAGTGGGGGCCCCAGAACTGAACCCATAATTTGATGTGTAGCCTCACCAGTGCCAAGTACAGAGGGACATTCACTTCCCTGGTCCCACTGGCTACACTGTTCCTGATACAAGCCAGGTGCCATTGGCCTTCTTGCCCACCTGGGCACCTGAATGCTTTTTAACTGAGAAAATCTATTAATCTGTTAATTACTACAAGCATACAGTAAAAAAAAAAGAAAAAAAACAGCACACCGGTTATATGAATATTATATTGTTAATAACTTCAATTCTGACCACCAATCTCTGTTGTTTTACCTGTAGTTCTACAAGTAACAGGCCATTACAAACTTCACTGAATCTCACTAAAGTGTCAAAACTACAGTGAGAGTTTTGTGTGACAGTTTACAGTGATAGTAAAAACAGTGATGTTCATCTGTTTTACTCAAAACCAAAAGAACTCAACTACTCAGCACCGCCTGCCAGGCAACCACTTCAGAAACAAAAGCTTCTGATGTTCCAACAGCTTTAAGAAATCTGACTCAAAGAAAAGTTTCTTACTTCAAAACGCTTAACAGGAAATTTTTTCAGTTCTTAAAACACTTTCAAACTTAAAGGGATATTTATTTACATTTCTATGCAATCTCCACAGTACTTAAACTTCCTTCATATTTAATGTTGTTTAGTTTTCCACTATAATTACTGTCCCTACAGAATACTTCCTATGTAAAGTCCTAACTGTTTCTGGGTAGTTTTGAGCCTCAAAGGACACAGTTACAGACTCAGTCACAAGAGCAGCACTGTTGCCTTGAAGTTACTGGAATTTGTTTTTAAAGACACGTAACACCATCACTTAAACTGATCCCATCATATGGGATTTAGCAGTAGTTTTCTGAGTTTTATCATGCACTTTTTGGAGCCACGTAGCTACAAGATTAACTCAGTTGCAAAGAAGAATAAAACTCCAGAATACTCAAGTTAGAGCAGCAAGGCTGCATCTGTTAGAACACTCTCATTTAATTGACTCATCTCCTCCCTCTAAGATACAGATACAACTAATTAGGCAACTTACCTACAATACACAGTACTAATGTTATTTTTCTTTATTTTTTTGATCGCTTTGCATCACGTATGTCACAATTCCAGGTTCTGGAACATAGTCCTCTGTCTTCACTTGGAAAAGAGGACTGGACTTGATGTAAAACCAGCCCCAGTGTACCAGCCCAAGGCCAGTTCCCATAACAATCAGAACTTTGTAGTCCTTCCAGATGGTTTTAAGACCCATTGCAAACTGGCATCTACCTAGGTAAAGATAATTTATTATTTTAAATATATTCTAGAAATCCTTTATTTTTTTACCCTATAATAACAGCACTGAACAGATGAAGCTGAATGCTAATACCTTTAATTACAGTGCAGCAGATGACTAAAACACAAAACAACACAAGAAAATCTTACTTTGTGAACTTAGAAAAAAAAGGTGCAAAAATAACCTCAATTCAGGCATTTTGAAGTGTTAATTGCTGCACTTGCTTCGAGCTTTGGCATGCTAAATCTTAAACACAACAAAGCAACAAAGCTTTATCTAATTACAAGCGTGACTGCTCAGATGGTAAATATTTGAAGCCTTAAAGCAGTTTTAAAATACACCCTTTTTTTTTTGTTTTTCTCCCCCAGTAGTTAATACAATTGAATGTCTAACTGAGCTAATGAGAGAATAAATATAGAACTTTTAACTTGCAGGCAAAGCAAGTTGTGATGCTTCTGACCCCAGTTTACCCTGCCCAGAGTGGCGGCTCTGCCTGAGCACCTTACGGCATCCGGAAGCTACAACAGCACCAGCACTAACAGAATAATTTAACCCTTATATCATAAGAAGGTGGAAAACACTACTCTCTGTCAAGAAGTACCTACTTCGAGAAGAAAACGCACGCTTTCTTATGCCAAATATCTCACTGGGTTGAACGGCTACAAAGCTACAACTCGAGCAGTAGATGCTCCTACTCCTCCCCAACTCCATCCACCGGACAGGTGTAAAAGCCCTACTAACCACCCCAGCATGACGACGTGGAGCCCTCACAATTCCCTCCTCCTTCTTCCTCGCGTCCCAGCGACCTTGAAGCGCGGGCGGCTGAGGGGCAGCGGCTCCCTCGGGACAGAGACCGCGGGCACGGCGCACCTGAGGCTTCTCTCCCCTTTGCGAGGGAGCGAGGAAGGCGCTGCTCAGGAGCCTCCCCGGTGAGGTAAAGACTCACCCGCCCCCGACACGTTCAAACGCGCCCTCGCAGGAAGAAGAAGCAGCAGAAGAAACACGACCCGGACGTTCCGCTATCGCCGAGCCCGCCCCTCTGCCCGCCATTAGCCGAGCGCTGCGTCACTCGCGCCCCGGTCCCGCCTCAGCCCCTGGCGGCCATTTTGCGTGCGGGCAGAGCAGGGCGGGCGGCGGCGACGGGCGCGGCCATTTTGGGTAGGGCAGGAGAGCGGCGGGAGGCGGGCGCGGTGCGGGGGGAGGTACGGCCGCCTTGGGCCGCTCGGCTCCTGCGGGAGCGGCCGCGCCTCGGGCTCCAGGCTCTCTTTCCTCGTTAGTTAAACGTGTGAGGAGACGCTTGGGGAGAGCTGGTGTTGTGCCGGTTGGCTCCCGCCGTGCCTCCCTTAGGCGCCGCCTCGGTGGGGTCGCTCCGGCGCCGCCCCCCGCGGCTCATCCCTGCCCGACCGCTCTTAAAAATATGCATATATCTCTCAGAACTTTCTTCCTTGCTTACCTCCTATTGCAGTCACTCCGCGTTACACGAGCGCCCACCTGTCTGAGCTTTCCTGTGGGCGGGCGAAGGTGCTCTGGCCAAAACAAGATCAAAAGAACTTCGTTCCCTGACCTGAGTGTTTCCTTAGCTCTTCCTTCTACTTCACTCTTCTACTTCGCTTTTCTTGTATTTACTCCTATGGCTGCAGGAATACTTTTCCTGTATTCACTCTTCTCGCCATGCTCACTGCTGTCAAGAGTCTCGTTTTATATTCACGTGTTAATGGATGAGTTTGTTTTCAATTTTGTTTAAATAGTTGCAGAGTTTATAACCGTAGCCAAAAGACAAGTATTTAATGCCTAATCTCCACACGAAAGGGAAAATCATGATTTCTTTTCATTGTATGATAATTTTTTTTCATTGTTCATTGCATTCAACTGTTCACGAAAGTTAAAAAAAAGAGGTATTTATCAGTGCAAAAAGGTAACAGCCAGCACCTGTCTGTGACAGCCCTCTGATGTTCCTCAGAACCTCTCCTTCCTCTAATTCTGTGCAGTGGTGGGTGAGGTGAGTGAGTAATGTCTTTGAAATTGTTGAACTTTAGAGATGAATGGGCAGTTCCCGAATGAAGGAGTGTGGATAACAACGAGGTAAAAAGATGCTTACTTGTTGGAAGAGTAGTTTTCAAGGGTTAAGTGGAGCAATTGGCCACAGCGGGCATAAAAAGCCTGAAATGGCAAAATTGTGAAGATTGTGATATGTCTTTTCAGGACTACAAATGCTTTACTAGATATGTGAGTAGCTGAGTATTGCACTGCTCATCCTAAGCTTATGATCTGCTCCTAAAACTGATGAGTGCTGAACAGTGTTTGACTACAATACCTATGGACTAAGGGAAAGTTCAGGAAACTCCTCCGTTATGTTGTGATAGTTCATCTTGAACTACAAAAACGAACTACAGAAACAGTTAATATCAAATTGCTTCACAGACTTCCTTATTCAGCATTTATGTGTTTGTTTGTGCTGTTTTTTTCAGGTGTCCACCTCTCCCCACTCGAGGCAAAGGCACCCAGAGATGGGCAGTGTGGAATAGTTTGCTGCTGTATCTTCAAGCATCTGGTACGAGTTTTCAGTTCCTCATTCCCTTTGAGTTCCAAATTCCCTCACCACGGGAAGCTACTTCTTTTCTGGGGTAAGATGCTGTTCCTCAGCTGGCAGAGAACACTTCCACTCACTCTCTGGGGGGCCATGAGGCACTGCCTTCTCCTGAGTGTCTACATTCCACTTGGCATCAAATTTAGAAAAGAAAGATATTGTACCACATTATTTTTTCAGTGTGTCTCACTCTAGCCACAGGCAACCTATGTGTTTAATTCTGAATCATGTTTTCTTATACACACTGTCTATGAAAACTTTCATGTTCAAAGTTTTTTTTTTACAAACACCACATCAAGACTTAAAAATATTTTTTTAATAGATACAGTTTCTGAGAGGAGTTTTTCCTGCCTTATTTTATCTTTACGTTTCCTTATTTAGAGTTTCCTTTAGAGGTTTGCAACAGAAATGTTATTCCATGAGAAACAGTCTTGTTGCCAAACAGTAGCAAGTATAATAATATCTGTGATTTTGGTGGGGGGTTTTTCAACACAGAAAATGGCAAAGTGTTTTGGGTCTAGTTGGCTTTTTCTTGTACAATTGCTGGATGCTTTGGCCCATTTTGTGATGTCTCAGTATTGGGTCCTTTTTCACCTGTGTCGCTCCAGTGACCTTCCTGATGGCTCACACATGAGGTGTGTTCTTTCTTGTTTTCTGAGGATTTGCTTACATTTATTCTATCTGCTGTATTTCCTTTCCTTTATCTATATGGTCAGTGCAAAGAATGGGATAGTTGGCAAACTCCAGGAAGAGCAAATTGAACAAAAATTGCCTTTTTTTTTGGCCATCTTTTTCCTTTTAATGTTTTTCTTCTGTTATTTTGTAAATTAGATTTGGAGGGGATTTCAGCCTGCGGGCAGTTCTTCTCACAACAGTAGTAGCAGGATTGTTGCAACAGTATTGTTCTGGAAGGCAAATGGTTACAAAAAGGTGCTGGCAGGGTCAGTTCAGCTGATTCATTCATGTGCTTTGTTTGCTCTCAAGGAGAACATGAGCATTTAGACAAGAGGTGATGCTCTGGCACGTTTTGTTGCAACTCTTCTTTGTATTATTCCTCCTGTAAAGATTAATGAGAAGACATTACCAGTCCAAATATTGTTCTTCAGGAGCAATGTTATAAGGAGCTGAGAAGCTCAGATGGTTTTCACTTGGTGGCTGCCATTTCCCTTCAGCATCTCTTCTGAACTAGTTCTGGCAGCTGCTGTTTCAGTGATTTCTGAGTTTCATCTCCTGGGATTCTTCTTATAGTTTCTCTTCTGTGTTTACTTCTATAGAGTGGCACTTACTGCCTGGCTGAACTGAAATACGATGTCTCAGGTGGTGCAGAGCACTGTCCCTTGCATTGTGCTTCTCAAAATCAGTAAAGTTGTCAGGGTTTACTCTGATAAGATTGAAAAGCTTCCAGGGCTGTTTTGTGCAAGAGAGAATGATAGTGGTGTGGCACAAGCCATGATGGTATTCCAATGTTTTTTTTCTGTTATTTTAAAATTCAATTTATTTTATGTATCTTTCTGCTTACTATTACTGTACAGCTGATAAAAGCTCTAATTTTGACCTTGTTTTCAGGACAGAGCTGAAACATTTTATGAACTATATTAAAGGTTATTTTCAGTAGTTACTTGGAGAGTGGTTCTCAGTTCAAACTCATTTTAACCTGGTTACTGTAATGGCCACTTTACTTCTCACTGTTTGCCATCCCTTTACTGATTTTATATCTTACTGCTTGGATATTAATATGATATTTAGAAAAAAAAAATCATGTAAGTAGCTGGGAGTTTTCCTTCAGCCAGTACATGGAATTGTGCCCTCATTACTTTCACATTTTCTCATAGTTATTTTGAAATCTTCGGTCTCAGCATTTGAACATTTGGAATGGAAGCCCTGTGTTTATTGAGTTCAACATATTTGCTACTATTGAATCTTAAGATCCAGATTACCTGTGCTATGCTGTGTAGCTGCAAAGTGGGTGTTTGTCTTGTTTTGCACTTATTTGAAGCTAAATAGGCATAATGACTGCATTTTGAAACAGTTAAGTTGTAGTGCCTGATAGAGACACATATCCCCAACCTACCTTGTGTCCTGAAATTTTGACAGCTCTGTCTCAGTACTTGCCAATAACTTGAAGTTTGCAGTGACAAATGTGTAGGTCTTCCTCAGTTTTTAGTATTTTCCTACAACTCTCGTACAAAATTGACCAGATTTGTCCATCTTAAGAGACTAATGCTTTAGGAAACTTTAGGACATAAAAGGCAGCTCTATTCTCCGTGTGGTTTCTGTTGCAGTTCATCTATTGCAGGCAGAAGCTACTGACACTGGTTTTCTGTTTTGATTTTGAAGCTTGAACTGTGTTGTTTGGGTGCTCTGTCTCCTGCCACCACACTGAGACCTCATTTCACCTGATTTCTGCCCAGTCCAAGTCTCTTCTTTGTCTGTTCCCTCTCTTCCTGTCCTGTGTGAAAATGGAATGTAGTTTATTTTTTTTATTCCTAGTTTTTTTGGAGGTATTAATTTGGTACCTTAGGGCCCATGACCTGTCTTCTGAATCCCAACTCTGTGTGGTTGGCTGGAAAGACTTTCATGAGTTTAACCTAATTTTCTGCTTTTGACAAGTGAATGTTTAGCTCCTGTTTGTGTGGAGGAGGATGAGCTTCCCAAGTAGCTTCAATGCTTTGACATTGATTGTTGTCAGTTTGGAAAAAAATCTTGGCAATTAATTGAAGGTTTCTTCTTGAGCCCAAGGGAGGGTGTTTTAATTTCCAGCATGAATTAATGCTTCCTGAGTTCCTTGGAATGGTCTGAGGCAGGGTCAGGGGCTGTGCAGCTGAATGCACTTCACTCAGGGTCCCAAATTAAGCAACCTAGATCCTATTTAGAATAAACAAAAGAAGAGGATCTCTGAAGTTCACTTTACTTTTGTGCAACCACAATAAGGCTCAGGTTATGTTGCTTTAAGTGTGTTGTAGTCTAAAATTTTAAGTATACATGTGTATGTGTTTATATAATTATATATGTATGGATCTTCTGTGCACCAAAAGCTGTAGTTTGTTACTTAAAAGAGTTCTAATTTTGTGTTTCATATGGTAGATGTGAAGTGCCTGAACAGTTATGAAGTTCACTAAAGGAAATCAACACAGGTAGCTAAGTAATTCTCCTTTAAATACGAATTTTCCTTGGATTTCTTAAAGCAAAGAGTAGGGTTTGAAGAACAGCAGTGCTGAAAAAAATGAGTAATAGATGTAAAAATCCTTCTTGATTGGTGTAGAGATCTGAGTGTTTCTCCAGTGCTGATCACTGTTAATTGATGTTTTTATAGGACCAGCTTACTCTGACCTATCATGGCATCCAACAAATTTGTCATTAAGGTAAGTAGAATGTCATAGCTTTTAAAAAAAATCTGTAATATTCCTTAGAATATATATGTTGATTTTAAAAGTTAATGATGAAGAGGTGCATCCTTCAGGCTTCTGGTCATAGTAACGTACCCTGTATCACCTTTTCTCTCTGGAAGCAAAGTTTGAATCATTTCTGTGTCAGGACAGAGTGTGTCTGAGGTCAGCTGAAGATTAAAATCATGTAGCCAAAAGTGATCAGTTGTGTAGTTAAAATTAGAAACTGCATGAATTTTCAGTGAAACAGTACTTGCTACCTGAAATAAAATTCTTTTCTTACTGTAGTGTTGTTGTTTGTGTGCTTCCCAGGTAATCTAAGTTCCTGGTTTTAAGGTGTAGCAATGTTCTGAAACTATTTATCACGCTTGACACTTTATTTGCCTCTTTTTTTTGCCTCTTTTCCCATTTTCAGGGATTAGTTGTTTCACATCCAGTAAAATGCCATTGAAGTTTATTTTGCAAACAGTCCCAGACTCCTGATTACGTATCTGAAGCCTAATGCTTTTCAAAACATTCTGTTATAAACATAGCACTTCATAATTCCTCTCCTGTAACTATATCAGTTTATCAATAAATAACACTAATTGGGATTAGCACAATATATTATTCTCTTGGAAATGTTTTTTCAAGGAATTTTCTGAACAGAAGAAGCTTTTTCCTTTGTGGATAAGCTTGGGGTTTTTTGGAGGGCAGCTACAAAATCCTTGCTGAGTGATGAGGGTGTGGAAGCTGTTGAAGCTTTGGTTTTGTGGGTGACCAACCTGTTCAACACGCAGACCAAGCCCTTAATTTTTTGTGTGCTGCGTGTTCTTTTCCAAGGAAAACTGCTGTCATTTAGTGGGATTTTACTGTTTACCAGGATGGTAAACCTTTAATTGACAGTATCATGTCTATGTTATTCAGTGCTGCTGAGCTGATAGAGGAGTTAGGAGAAATATCTTTGATTTAGAGCACATTTTAGCTGATACTCTGAGTCTGTAGACCACTAGTGGGGGAACAACAGGAGCTGGAGGCTGAGGGGATTTGCTTTTCTCAGCTGAGAACCCTCGATGTCATCAAAATGAATATAAATGCCCAAGAAAACAAGTGGTGTGAGTTGAAATGTCTTCGCTGGGTAAAAAGCATTAAGATACTTTGTTGCTGACCTGCATCATTACAAATTCATTATTGAGCACAGACATGTTACTTTTCAATCACCCGGTGTTTCAACATCCCTGCCTGCCTGAGCAGTGGGCAGGTGCTCACTGAGCAGGGGTTTGTGGGTAAGCAGCACCACAGACACAGCTTTTGAGGCTGCCAATGAGATACAACTTTTGCTTTCTGGTGGTATTTGAGAAATAAAGGTAAGCTTTTGCATTTTTCAGCAAATGTTGAAAATTAGCTTCGCCTTGACCTGATTGACATTCACTTTGTACACACGTGTGTAGCATTCTGCTTGTTAGAGCAGGGATTTTGTGTGTCAGGTTTTGATTCTTTACATTCACTGGATTTGTATTTAATGTGTATATTCTCTTTTTTAAGACTGTCCAACTTTCACAAAAGTTTTATGAGGAATATCCATGTGTAGAAGATTCTCCATTAAAACCCAGAAGATTCTCACCCTTCTCTGCAGTGGGAGTACAGAAAATATTCTTAATTTTATGTGTTTGAAATTGATAGGATCATTTTACTGAGTCTGAAAATGTTCAGGACAGACCTGTTGGAGTGAGTCCACAGGAGGGCCATGAAGATGATACAGGGATGGAGCACCTCTCCTCTGAGGAAAGGCTGAGAGGATTGGGATTGTTCAGCCTGGAAAAGAGAAGGCTTTGGGGTCACCTAATTGCTGCCTTCCATTACCTGAAGGGGGCCAACAAAAAAGATGGAGAGGAACTATTTACAAGGGCCTGGAGTGACAGGACAAGGGAGAATGGCTTCAAACTGAGAGCAGGTTTGGATTAGGTATCAGGAGGAAATTCTTCTCTGTGAGGGTGGTGAGTCACTGGCACAGGTTGCCCAGAGAAGCTGTGGCTGCCCCATCCCTGGAAGTGTCCAAGGCCAGGTTGGATGGGGCTCTGAGCAACCTGGGCTAGTGGGAGGTGTCCCTGCCCATGGCACAGGGGTTGGAATAAGATGATCTTTAAGGTCCCTTCCAACCCAAACCATGTCTCACACATGCCTCGCCTCATTTTCTACAGTCTGTATTTTTGAAGTTTTTAGATTCTGTAAACGTGTGTATGTTAATCTTTTTGGTAAGAAAGCAAAAATTACAGCCTTTCAATCTTTCAGGTCTTAGCTGACTGGCAAGTAATTAAGTGGGAAACCCCTCTAATGTGTTTAATGACTTGTTACCAATTTTATCTGGGAATCTCCGTACCCCGATGTGATGGCCCCTTATTACCAGTAGAGGGAGCAGTTGGCCTGTTTTTGAGAGGCGATCTAAGCTTGGCTTTATGGGCAATTAAGAGGGATTGAAATAAACTAATTGATGCAGTAAAATACCTTTAAACCTTAGTACAGAAACTACAGTTAGGTCCTAAACACACTTTCTTCACCTGCCAAGTGGCTGGATTCTGCAGTGTTGTGATTTGCAGTAGGTAATATTTTATGCAAATTAACTTGATCAACAATTGTCAATTTTAGGAAATATTGATAGATATATAAAGCATTGCGTGGTAAAATACCCCCAACATATGAATTTAATTAAGCATTCTTTTTGTGTTGCTAAAATATTTTACTGCTGTTCTGGGAAATAAATCTTAACTTTAATTGGTTAGGCTTAAAGCAAAATCATGAACCCTATATGGATTTCAAAAATAATATCACTAGGGCCCTGTTTAAACCTTTGGACAAAGTAGAAAGAGTTGCTCTTCCAGAATTGTGTAAATTGACTTTATTCATGCCAAGCTGCAGAACTAAATATAGTAATTTTTATGGCTGCAATAGAAAAATTTCATTTACTGTTTTCTGCAATTTGTTCATTTGCCAAACACAGAAGACTTTAAGTTGTTACTACATTTTAATAACTCAGCTCAAAGGGAAGCTTTTTTTATTCTACTGTTTCCTACTTTGAGAAATGTGGAGCTCTGTTCTGTCTCAGATTTGTAGGCTCTTGCAAGCACATAGATTAAGCTAATTATAGTTTCAGTGTTCCCTCTGGTCATCCAGCTCTCTCTGCAATTGATTTTTCAGCAGTGTTGCTCCTCGTTATCAATCTAAATTACTGCATGCTGGACATATATATGTAACTTTTTTGATCCTTTCTCCTTCAAACTTTTTGCTTGCTTTAAATGGCAAGTTCATTTGAAACAGCAAGCATAGTTTTCTCTTTTATATTGGGAACAAAGATGGAGATGACTGGACAGCAAAATGACAGTGGGAGTGTAATGGGATCACTTTTCCCCTTCATTTTACCTCTGTGTCTGTGTCATGTTCTTTATTTTATGTTGATGTATCTTAATGTAATTGTTAAAATACTGACTTATAACCAAAGGTATCTTAACATCTGTCTTTGGATATGTTAGAAGTGCTCCATGAAAGGAAGTGTTTCTAGCAAGAACATTGATTATAGGCCCTAACATTAGGAAGAAGGAACTGCCCTGTCAGACAACGCTCCAGTATGGATTCAGTGTTGTCCAGGTCATTTTAGGGCCTTTTCACAGACCTGTAGATGGTCTTGGGTCTGGAGTAAGAAAACGAGAAGTTTATTTTGATATTTCAAGTGCTTTCTTTTTTCAGCTAATGGTAGAAATGTAATACTGTGACAGCATGATCAGCTCTGCCTGTCTGGATGATTCTTAGGTGATGTCTAGCCTTGACAGGTTAAATTTCTCATTTCTGTGAAGTGTGTCCATTGACTCAGCTGATCAATGTTTTTGTAAATATTTGCTGTTAAACACAACAAATATTTTTGTAAGAAAGTGATGTGTTTACTTCTTCTTGGGAGTTGTTTGGAGAGTAAGAAACTAGGGAGATGAGTAGGTTTTCTTACCTGATTTTGTTATTTATCTCTGATCCCATATAATGAGTGATGAGGGACAATAGATATGTTTACTGCTTAGATTAAGTCCATAGACACATGACTGCAGTGCTCTCAGGTGGAGAATAAGGAATGGTGTTTGTATTTAAGGTAATTTTTTGTATGTTGTGGCTGCTCTGTTACTAGGCTGATAGTACAGCTGCTTGTTCTACATACAGAGCTGGGAACTTGTTAGCATTCTGATTTCTGGTTTTAGCTAGATAGGGTTTTGGGTTTCTTTGAGAGTACTTACTTAAATTAACTAATAAATACAATGTTTTCTGATGTTCATTTCTTTTCCCCATTCAAAACCAAGACATTTGTACGTGAAATTCGTCTGGTTGGAGTACTGATAAGTATTTCAAAGGAAACAGGCTAAGATTAGTTTTCTGTGATTAGATAAAATTTGTAGAAATATTTTAAATCTTAAAACTAAGGTACCGGTTCTCCAAACTGATTAAAGGTTACTGAATTTTATATGTGCTGTGTGTCCTTAAAAATGAATAAATAGCCATATTAACCATTAAAGAATGATTTTTCTAGAGCAGGGGTTTCCCTAAAGCAGCATTGCTCAGAATAGGAATGGTTGGGTGGTTGGAATTGTTACTGTCAAGGAACATCACACACTTCACTCAGCTGTCAGGTTTGTTTCTGTGTGAATGCATAAAATATAATAATTATCTAAAAAGGCTTAAAAGTCTTAAGGGAGATGATGAAAAAGAGGCAGGGGGGGATATGATTTAAAATAGGAAGTGCAAACAATAATAATGGATGGAGGGACATCTATTTAGTTCTCTTTCTTAATGCTCCACTTAATTCCCAATTTCATGGGACCAGATATGGAATGGCTAAAGTGATGAGTAAATAAGTTCCAGAAGAAAGAAAAGAGGAAGTTGGGAGGTAGAGGAGGGAGGAAAATTAAGTGTACAATCTAATTCTAAATCTCCTGGAGTCAATGGAAGTTTCCTCACTGACC